CAAATCAGCCACTTGAGAATCGATTGATTGAAGTTCGCTTAATCGCAGATCTGATCAAAAATACAAAAAATTTAACCCTGCTTGAAATTTTCAGCCAGCATCTAATCACTAAGAAGAAAAACTCACTGTTTGGAAGTAGATGTTGAATTTTCTCCTCAACCGTTTTTCCGACGCTTAAATATTCTTCAATTAAGCTTTCAACACTTTGAACTCTCACAACTTCGTTTTTCAACTCTTCCAAAATGCCCCTCCATTCAGTTTCTGTCTTTTTCAACGGCGTCCCATCAGTGTGCTGTTTTAGTTCTCTCTTCCATTTCTGAAGGACTTCAATCAACGTTGGTACAAATTCCTTTTCTGTCACTTCATCCATCAATTGCTCCCATTTCGACTTGCATATAACTTCAGTTGTTGTCTCACTTTCTTCGCTCTTGCTCACATCTTTCATCTCTTCATCACTATTTAAATTATCTTTTCCATCACTCGAATCCATATCCTCATCATCAGAAGTTTTCCCTTTATCCTCTTCTTCGATTTCTTCATCGTCCTTTCCAATTTCTCCTCCTCTTAAGCGTCTTTTTAATTCCTTTTTTTCAATCTTAGGAGGAAACAGAACTGCTCTCATCGTATGATTCCCATCCAGTAAATGCTCAAATCGATACTTTGCCGGCATCGCAGCAGCTTCTTCTAAATCTTCTTCGAGTATTTGGGACTTCACTTGACTCAATTTATATCGCCATTGCTGAAGATAGAATTGTGCAGATAACTGTTCTTCAAGTCCCATATCAACTGAGAGTTGTTGAGAATCAAGCAAGAGTTGAAACTTGAGTCGATCAATCGAAAGACTTTTCGGAGTTTTCAAACACTCTTTTGCTCTTCGTCTCCATCGATCTGCCTGTTCCTTAATTTGTTTCAAATGCCGCACTCTTCCTTCATCAGCAATACAACTCGCATCCCCCCGTTCCATTAAATTCACCAAAGTCTCGTATTTCGGTTTTTCCAATTTTTCTTCCACGATTGATTTACGTTCTTCCTGATCGGTTTCCCCATCGATCTTCTTCTCTTGCGATGGCGCAACAATCGCAGATAAGCATGGAGCTGCTAAGATGTCGATTGGCAAATTATCTCTCACCGATCTCACAGCAATCGATTCAATCGCCATCAAATCATTTGATGCCCGTGCAAAGTCTGCATCCATCATTCCAAAAAGAGTGCGATTCAGAAGAGCGTCCACTTCCTCACACCATTTTTCGTAATCTTGAACCATTGTTTGTAATTTTTGATTCTCCTCACTCAATGCAAGATATTCTCCCAGCGACCGTCCTTCTTTCATCACGGAGATTAATTCATTCACCGAAACAGATGCATGACACTGAGTCGCCCTTCTGTATCTCTTCACCCATCGTTGATATCGAATACGTAAAGCCTCTACAGATCGATAGACGTTCAGTGTTACTTTGATGCTTCCATATTCGCTGCAGAATACTTCTAACTCTTCGGCTGTTGGCAATAACCGTCCTTCAGTTGCGCTTTCATCTGATCTGATAGAGTCTACTGTCGTCGTTGTTGTATTTTCTTCTTCTCGCTTTCCACAGAGAAGTTTAACCTTTTGAAGTTCTTCTCTATCAATCGGAGAAATGATTTCTTTAAATGGAACTGAAACAGCCTTGTCGATCCAATTTCGAACTTGGTCACACTTATCGTACAGTTCCGCGATGTACGCTTGTCCCACGGAACAATGTCTCGCATTATCGACACCAGATAAAATATCTTCCAATTGATTTTGACTGATAGGCTTTTTCGATGTCATCATCCGTTGCAATTTCTCAATCCATTCCGCCACTTTGACGTGATCTTTTAATCCATCCATTCCTTTCAATTCGATCTGTCCCTGACACTCCTTCCCAATAAGATCTTTACACCGATCCAAATCCCTGTTTGTCACTGCGGCACCAACCATCGATTGCCAACCCACAGCCGCTTTCACTTCTCTTGTCAATAGTCCACATTCCTGGACATAAAACGGTAACCGATCTCCTTCTTCAAGCAGACATCGCAGTCGTTCGAGCGTCATTTGTTCAACACCGGCAGTCTCCTCGACATTCGCGAATAGACCAGGAATGTCGCTGCGGACTTTTTTGACGAAACGGTTGCACTGTTCAATCTTGTTGTTCAATTCATCGAGCTCTTTCGACAAATCACACAACATTCTCAACTTCAAACCATTTTGATGAACAACTGTTGCAGTTTCAATAGAATTTTTGCGACCTTTAGGAAATTGATACAATCGCTTCAATGATTCATTCCAATTCGATAATAACGTCATCTATCAGAAAGACCAAGTATCAATAAGAGCGATGCATCCAATGTCCCAAAACAATATCCAACAAGTCCCAAACATTCTCCCGAATGTCTCAAACATGATCTATTCAACATACTTGATTAGAGAAGGTTTGAAAGGCACCCTGGAGATCGGAAAAAGTTGCGCTAGGGAATCCACCGACACTCTCCGAACTGCAGGGTTCTCCTACAGGCTCTAGCTTCACCTTAGAACTGGCGATGGGAGCAGCTTCAGCCCTCACGACATCGAATCCTTCCTTCACGACACTCAATTCGTCTTCCACGCCTTTTGGTTCCATGAATCTCAACCACATCGATGACCCAAGAGTCGGATTGATGCGATGCGCTTCCAAACAGGCTGTTTCAGCTTCTTTTTGTGCATCACCAATTGGAGGTGGTGACAAAATGGTTCCTAAATGTTTCTCTACTAAATACCGAATGAGATATCGATGTGTCCAACAATCCTTGGCAGTAATCGGGGGTCGTTCCGCTCCTTTTCCTTCAAGCTGTTCTCGTCGCGATTCTCGTACGATTGACCGAATTTCGCTTGAAACTCTGACAAATAATTCTGAATCAACCGACAAAGGATCAATCTTGCAAAATAAACCTTCATAATTTTTTAATATGCTTTTTAAAACCAGAAATTCATGAGAACCACTCGAGCGCCATCCTCCCTGTTTCCGTTTTGCTGGCTGTTTTGGCTTCGGTTGATGGGAATATCGGGAACGTTCTTCAATCAAATGGCGCTTCAGATTCAGCGCGAAATGACGAACTTTTGCCAAGGAAGGCAATTTCGCCATCGCAGCGGGCGTCGCATTGTCCTTCTTCTTCGGACCTGGCTTTGATAGGGGAGTCTCCTTCACCTTCGGAGGAGATCTGGAGGGTGTCGGCACGGCAGATGTCTGATGGGAATCTGTTAGCTGCCTTCGCCTTGTGGGAGGCTGGCGGACTGTCGTTGGGGGGGTTACTAGAGGTGGCGGTGATTGTTCGTCAGATGGGCGGGGAACAGGTTTGATGGGAGACGCTTGCAGAGCATCGACTGGAGGTTTTGAAGGGGAATCAGAAGAACGTTGGGGAGACAAACATTTCTGACGGACGGGAGAGAGAGCCAGCTGAGGAGGCGCTGATTGGGCTCCTGCTACATGGGTTGGGGGTGGACTGTTTGATCGTTTCTTTTGTTGAGGGTTGTCAAGATCACATGAGGCTATTCGACTGGGTGGGGGAGAAAAAGATCGAGGGAGACGAAGTTGCTCAATGTCGACGAAAGCAGCAACAGAAGTGCTGCGGTCATCGAATAATTGAGAAGAAAACGCACGATAAGGACCCTCACAAGCAGGAGGATGGCGCGAATAAGGGGACCGGGTTGGATGGCGACGCGATGGACGGAGATTAAAAATAGGGAGAGGGAGAGGAGAGTTTGAAGATGAGGTTTCCTGGGAGTCCAATTGATTTTCTCTTGCTTTTCTTTGACTGTGATATTCAAGCTCCTCATAGACGCCTTTGACTGAATCAACGTCTGAATCATCTCCTACGACGTCATCTTCCCCCGGTGGTTCGAAAATTGGGTTTACAAAGGCTTGATAACGAAGCTCATTGACGCGGATCTCACCAGCAAAAACATTTAGATTTTTCTTCCTCGGCTTTGGTTTTGACCGCAGCTCAAACTCTGCCATTTAAGGAAATAAAAGATGAGGATCAAGATGAGTGCTGCAGAAGTTCTCGAAACTGCTGAAAATCTTGACAGCAACGAGCTCTTTTTGATGAAAACTTGCAAAAAATTGATGCTTTCACACTGAAAAGGTGAAACTGGAAGGGGAGAAAATGTAGGACCAAACGCTTTTTGATGCGATTGAGTGTGTTGAGTTGATTAAAATCCTCAGAGTTGAACTTTAATGAGGCGGCGGTCACGATATGGTTATACTTCAGAGCTGCTAAAAATCCATTTGAGTGCTCTTGATGATCGAAAATCCAATTAAGAGAAATCCAAACTTGCGAAAATTGAAACCAAATCAAGAAATAATAATAAGAACAACAAGTTTTAACAATTCTATCTCAAATAGCGAATTAAGAAACTTCTGTTGGCATTCGTTGTGAACTTTCATTAGGCGCACATTTAACAATTTTAAAGTGTCTGCTTCCACAGACCGTTATTTTCCCAAGACCGCGTTTGAGCTGATTTGAGCTTTTGGAGTGTCTTTAGTTGCTAGAGGCCAAACTGGTTGAAGCTGAAATGGACCCAAGTGCTGGAAAAGTTTGTTGTTAAGTTGGTGGCGTCCCTTGCTGTTAATTTCAACCACAGTGAATCGTACAGAGAACTTTTTCACAACCAACTTAGCAATTTTATTCTTAGTGCTGCAGCCTGAGAAGATTTCCTTTCTTCCAGCTGAGGGTGAGAAGCCACATTCAAACTCGATGGAAGCTTACTATCCACCATCTTTTTTTTGGCTCCTAAAAAAGTTCATTTGTTTCTGTTTCACCAAAACAAGAGAAGCGATAGTTGTTACCATTCCCCCCCTTTCATTTAACTCTATTGCGACACTTTCGTCCCGAGTACTGTGATTTCTGTCCCCGACCATCTTAAAGGGCAACTTAAGAAAACAGTTCAAGGCACTGTCATTTGTCATTTAAAGAAAAAGAAAATAAAACAGAAGAAATCATAAGAATTAAAGTCTTGCTTTCGGCGCTTTCTTTTTCCCCCTTCCGCTCCAAACATCTAACAAACTATCAGCTTGATCTTTTGGTAAGTGTTTCGCATATTCGAGTGGCATGATGACAGTACCAGCACGAATAGACACCTGCGTATCAACAATACAATCATATCGCGTAACAACAGCACAAGTATATTACAAGAACAATTATATTACAAGGCAAGTATTAATAAGGGAAATATAATCTCACATCTGGTTGAATCAATCGGTTATGGACTTGCGATGCATTCCATTCTGGTCCAAGTGGATGAGCACATGTTGCTTCAAATTGTTCTTTATTGGAATAAGGAAATGGAACACTTTTAACGAAATAGGGAGCCAGCTACAAAAGAGGGGAAACACATCAGATGAGATCATGAAAACTCAAACTCAGTCAACAACTCAAACTCAGTCAACAACTCAAACTCAGTCAACAACTCAAACTCAGTCAACAACTCAAACTCAGTCAACAACTCAAACTCAGTCAACAACAACTTAAACTCAGTCAAAACCAAACTGCTGAATTCATTTCGAACCCGATCCATTCTATCACAGAAACTCACTTTTCTATCCAATTTACGATTAATATAAATTCGCGGTTTAGGTTTTTCTTCTATGACTGTTTCAATTATATTCTTCTTTCTATCTTTGATCCCTTCACCAGTCCAACTTCCCCATCCTGCAAGCTTTCGAGGTCCTTGCTCCTTTTCCTTCTCCTCTTCTTCATCCTCTCGTGCTAATTCTTTCATTTCGTTTTGTTCCGCAATTTGCTCGCTATCTACAAACGCCTCTTGAATTAGATTTTCTTGTTCTAGGGCTCCATCTAAAACTCCTTCTGAGGCAAGCATCGCGACCTGCAACCTCAATAAATCGACGGAGGCAGTAGTTTTTTCTTACTAGATCGTCCACAGCCACTGATGTGTTTTTTTCGGTATGTTTTTCTTGACCGTTCTTCTTTTCGCCTGAGATTTTTTTCTGGTTAAGATGACGATCTCTAGTGCCATCTTTATTATCTTCGTGATGATTCTCTTTACCCTGTCTCCCATCAACATGTCCATTGACGTCTGCTACACCATCTCCTCTAGATTCATCTTCAATGATCTTTTCTTCATCCCCAGTTATCTTTATGTCATCTCTAGTTATCTTTATATCATCTCTAGTTGTCTTCATTCCAGGAGTTTTCGACTCTTCCAATTCACGAGCTGCGCGTTCCAATTCTTCTTTTGTAAATCGAGGAAGTCTCAAAGGTTCTTCTTTCTTCCCTTTATGCTTTTTTATTTTTGGTTCTTCAACATCGCTGTCATCAGTATCAACATCAACACTATTCTTCGGCAATTTACGCTTGATGCATTCTGTACGACATGAATCAAATCTTAGAATAATACAATTAGAATTCCTTCTTACTTTTTAAACCATCAATTTCCTTCATCACTTGATCTGCCTCTTCCTTATTTTTAAGTTTTTCTCTCTTCATTGCGTCTTGCATGAATTTCAAGCCCATTAATCCTTTTTGCCTCGTCGTGTCTTCCTCGTCACTCCGAACTTCCTCTTCTATCAAACTTTTCGCGCGTCTCAATACCTCTTCTCCTCCGCCCTCGTCTTCACTATCAAAATCGAGATCGCTCTCATCGTCACTCTTTAGAACATCATGCGGGGATGATTTCGCAATTCGAGTGATTGCGTCCATTTCATCCCGTTCTTTTTGAGCTTCTCGTGACACCAACTTCTGAGCGTCTTTTCCGCCGTAGCGCATCGCCACTTGTGCCCATTTCCTTCTAGCATTTTGCCTTTTTAACATTCTCATCCCTGCTCGCTTTTCCTCCATATCGGCGCGGATCTTCGCCGCCAATTCGGGGCTTTCTTCCTCCAACCGACTTAAGAGACGTTCGCGCTCCATTAATTCGCTCTAAGAAACAAACATAAATGCAATCAAACTTCAAACTCGCAGAACACGCGTGGATACCTTTCGATTAACTTTCCGCCACATTTTTGACTTTATTTTATTGATTCTTCTATTTTTTTGTTGCTCTCTGAAAAGGATCGATTTGAGTTGCGCGACATGACTATTGATTCTCTGTTGTTTGATTCCTGGAGCGACTGGAAGAGCCTTGGATTCAGCAACACGTTGTTCTGTGACACCACTTGCAGCAATTGCCTGATGAGAACAGCAATCAAGGCAAATCTCTGTTTAATTAACTTATGGATGCTTACTTCCCGCATTTCTGTTTCGAAGTCATTGGTGGGTTGAAAATGGACGGACAACGCTGAAGTTGTTTGTCTCAAGCTTCTAGAAATTTGGCCGAATTGAACCTGTTCGGATTCTCTGAAAACAATCCCTTGAATCATTCAGCGCTGAATATGAACTTACGCGTTTCGATGTAACTGAGGAATCCATTTGCGAGCATCTTTTACGGCTGCCTTGTAGTTCAGGGCTCGCTCTGCTTTTGCCTGTTGCCGGGATGGTAAAGCTTCTTGTAGCCCTTCTGTTGATTGCAATGCTTGAAGCTGGGATTTGATCAGACCCAAGCTCTTGTCATCAGTAAGAGCGTTAAGAAGGGAACCGAAATCCGACCCTGTCAAGGAATTCTGTTATTGATGGAAAACATGGATGACGCACCGAAGTCATTCGACGAATCACCAATGGCAAAATCTGATTCATCAAGTCCTTTTGGAATTGAAGAAATTTCTTCAAAGCTTTCCTCCTGGACTTTTGGGGGTGTTCTGCGCTTTCGAGGTTCTTCCATTTCTCTGGGGCCTAACAAACCAGGTAGACCTGTCATGCTAAAACATAAAAAGTTAAGAAAAGATGGCGAAAAACAAAAAGTAAAAATTTGATCTATTTTCGTTTCTTTATCTTTTTCGGCATTGGAGACAAAGGAGATGATGTGGCACTAAAATCATCTCTATCGTCATCGTTCAATGATGTTGTCGTTTCCAGACTGTCTTCATCATCCTCAATTGGATGTGTGTGCGTTACATCTTTCCTTCTCTTTTTTAAATATTGAATTCCAAACACAATATTTATGATCAATATGACGATAGAGATCAGCCAACCTGATTGCATGTACAGCAACCTTCTCTCAAATCTGACAGAACACAAAAATTTCAACTCATTAGTAGATAGCGACGTTACCTGTGGAGAGCGACCACGCCATCTGCAAAATATTCCAACGCGTTCACTAATGCTATCACTTCATTTCGTTCTACTTTGCGAATTTTTGCGTCACTTCCAGCAGCCTGTGATAACAATATCTCGAAAATCTGTACATCACACACAACTCCTACCTTCAAGGCCATTTGTAACGCTAAAATTTTAACTTTACCGTGCAATCGGCATTTTTCGCATTCTAAGCAATCCATTATTTTAGAAATATTTTGAAACTGTCTTAACGCTAAATCTTGCTTTCGAGTGAATAAAGGCTCATCTTTGTATCGATCTTCACAAGCATGGAATGGCTGCCTTAACATTGAACGAAGTTGGTCTCGTGCCAAACGATCGTCCAAAGGCGTTCCTGAGACAGAATTTCATCGATGTTATTCATTTCAATAATCAAGCATCTCACCAGTATCACAATCACAGGTGTCCAATATTGGTCCAACATGACAAAATGTTTTTAATAGAACACCAAATGTGAAATACAGATTTGCCATCCATTCACGACCAGGTGCCACGCGCTCCTTAAATAAAGTCAAGCTTGGTGAATATTGTGATCGAAATGTGGATGCGCTGATAATTTCCCCCCTTCTCTTCAAATCTTCAATTTCTAATAAATCTGCTTCAGGCGTCTTTTTTGAATGATGATATTCTGCACTCAACACCATAATCACTGTTTGCATTCCAGATACTATTTTGTAAAAAGCTTCTTCCTCCGTGCATTCATTGAGTTCATCATTTCTTGGAGCGACATTTGAATCCTTTAGAGGATTTGGCGACATACAATTCTCTTTGTAAATCAGTCCCCAAATATTCCGACCACGATATGCTGAAAATCAATGGTGATGACAAATCCTTATTCGACCAAATCAAGTCAAATATTTGAATATAATCATGACTCTCTTCGTTCTTACCTGTATATCCCGGTCTGTTGAGTGTGAGATCAACATAAGATGCTGTTGATGATTCCTCATCTGATACTGTGGGACGCTTCTTCTCACCAAAGATCATTTCTCCAAGATTTCTCTTTATCTCTGAAACGTCATCATCAACAACTCTATTACTATCATCATCGACTCTATCATCTGTTGTTCCCCATGGTTTGATATTTGTTTCATTATAATGATGACGATCGACAAAATTTTTAACAGGCTGCATGATCCACGGTTTGGGAATCTGTGAATTGTCACATTCACAGATTTGGCAAGATCCAGGAGACGTGCACATTTCACGGCGTGCCCAAAATGGACACTCTTTTGCTAAATCTGTCTGTTTGAAAAACAACTTAGAGAATGAATCGATGAATAAATAAAACTCACTTTGAAGATCCTAAAGAATTTATGTTCCTTGAGAGAATCTAGCAATGGTAACAGACGACGCGCATCTTGATCAAGTTCATTAACGGAGGGCAATCGGCGATCGATCACTCCCGCTGGCTTGTTGATCGACCATAATGGAATCCATTCAGGATAGCTGCTAGAAATAACCTTGCTGCTTTGTTTGAACCAATGGAGAATCTTAGATGATGTTGCTGTTTGCTGAGAGAATTTTTCAAAAAAGATGACAAACGCTCCAATTAGAAGAGTGAAGAGGAAAGGAACCCAGACAAATTTTGCACGACGAAAACACTCAGCCCAAGGAGAGTTCTGAGATCTCGGCCGTCGCGCCATTTTGAAACAGAACGTCCTTTAGGCACCTGGAAACTCTCTGCTTGTTGAAAGAAGGTGTGAGTCTTTAAGGAACTGCTTGAGGAACTTTTCAGGACCAATGACGTGGCAGACAGCAACGAAACTGTGTGACTAATACACTTGGAGCGAACTTGAACAATCGTGCACAAGTAAAAGGGTGGCAGGAGTCGATTGTCTATGCAATAAGAGAGCTTCATTTGTCAAATCAAGTCGTTCATCAGACATTCCATGAACCTGCTGTAGATCTGCCCCAAACGCGAACAGTTTTTCAGGACGATTGCCTGATATTGAAGACGATCCGGTTTTCGCTCAGCACGTCTTCAAGAGCCATCTCGCATCATGGGGGATCACGTTTCTGATTCTGAGGGGAAAAAATCTGTCGCTATGGAGGATACGAGAGCGATCCCACAAGAAGTCCAAGAATTTCTGATCGAACTTCAAAATTGTGTGACGGAGCACAATTTAGAAGGAATGAAGCGTCTCTATGAATTTGATTTTAATCATATTAGCGAGACGCATTACAGTAAAGATCGGTGGCCATCAGAAGATCGCGTCGATCTATTTTATCAGCAGCATGATATATTCAGTTCTGTTGTATCAGCTCTTTATCGTGAATTGTATTTCCGACATCTTCTTGCTAAATGTCCAGATCAATCAACATGGGCTGATCGTGTTTATTCAAGTCTCAACTATAATCGCCTCTTTGAGTATTTCATCACAAACGAATGCAATGCTAACAGGTCTGCTCAATAGACTCAGTAGTGCTGCTGGTCTTCTACAGTAATTAATATGTAATATATGCTTACTGCTGTGATATTTAGCCACATGATGGTTATCTGTTTCTATCCCCATCAATCTTCTATCGAACATGAAAATTACGGGGATGCCATGTCTTCATTGTTCCCTTCAGACCTGCTTCTCCGTATCTCCCTCTTCCGCTTCAATGGCAATGGGACATGGTGGACGAGTTTGTATATCAATATCAAGAAACTCAAAGATGGAAAGCTCAATACGCCAAAGACATTGTTGCCAATCCCGCAGCACTTGAAGCGTTGCGATCTGGCAGTAATGCATGGCGTTGTTCTGACGTTTTATCATTATTAACGCGATTAATTCAAACTTCTGGAATCAAACAATATTTAACAAATGAACAACGCCAACGACAACATCCAGCAGCTTCCGTCAATCCTCGACTCGTTGAAGAACCAGATCTCCCAGTGACTCTTGGATATTTTGGGATCATTTCTCTGATGCGGTAAATACTCTTTTTTATCTCTACTTTTCAATCCTCTCATTCTCAGATTGCATGTTGCTATGGGTGATTATCGCGCTGCTCTTACAGTAGGATCATTAATCGAACTCTCTCCAACTGGTTTATATTGGAAGGTTCCGGCCGCCCATATCACGCTCTTCTACAATCTCGGATTCGCATACATGATGATGAGGTATTGATTCATTTGGTTGTTTTATCCATTTGGTCCACTAGCAACACCGACAGTATTGACTCCACACGATACTCAAGAACGAAACTGATTACGCTCTACTCGCAAATAATCGTTCTTTTTTTAGGCGGTATCAAGACGCTATTCGGGTGTTGAGTCAAATTCTAACATTTTTGGGACGAAGTCGTAGTTATCTCTCAACTCAATCATATCAACAAGACGCAATGTTACGAATGACTGAAAGAATGTATCATCTCGTACTTCTCTGTAACGCTTTGAGTCCAACACGCCTCGATGAAACAATTCAAGTTCATATTCAAGATCATCTAGCTGATAAGCATTTCAAGTGAGTTAATTTTGATTTCCATTGAGTTTATCTTGAGTTTATCTTAAGTTTATCTTGAGTGTATTCTATTTAGTAACAGTAGTTCGTTGATCACCGTATTCGCTTATTTATGAATGAGAGAACGAAACAAAAACACAGTCCTTATGAAGCCCACTCGATCTATTTCTTCCTGGTCGATTTCTATCTCCATTTTGATTTTTAGACTTCAATCCGACGAAGAAGACGCATATCGTGAAGTGTTTCTCAAAGCAGCTCCAAAGTTTTTCAATCCATTTGTTTCGGATTATTCCAATCCACAAGAAACAATCGGTATCGATAAGGACGAGCCAACAAACCGTCAAGTGAACATGTTCTTGAAAGACGCTTCATATCAGAATAAAGTCTTCAATGTTCGATCTATCGCTAAATTATATAATAATCTGACTCTCACGGTAAGTCATCGAATTGACCATCTGCTGTTTCTCATAATTTCTGTATTTCACTTCTGCACTTATTTTGCACTTCATTTCTTTGATAGAAACTTTCGAATCTCATGGGGCTGAAGCAAGAAAATGCTGTTGAAATTGTCCGCTCTGAAATGCTTTGCGTCAAAAATCGTGCTGAGCAATTGATATGGCGATCTGGTCCACTTTTGAGTGGCGAGCGTGTTCAAATGTTGGCAGACCTCGACATTTATCTCGAAACAGACACAATCCATGTCAAGAATCTGACAACCCAGCGCAGTTATATTGATTATTTCATCAAGCAGATTCACAGAACTCAGGTGAGAGACCATTCTTTGATCTCCAGATGCTGTTTTCAAGGCTCCTCCTAAAATCAATTTCCATCTTTTTAGGATTTGCTTAACAATGCCAATGCACCGACTAGACCTGAAGTCAAGAAGCAGCCAACAGCGGTGGCTGATTGATTTTTCGTCGAAGAGAAGATCAAAAACACGAAGACATTGTTATTCAGTCGCGAGAAGTCGCTGGAGATTTCCCTTGAGATCGCCAGAAAAATTAGCAATTTCAATCCGACGCGTAATTTTGGTGCGACACCAAGGACATGCAGTAATGCGCGCACAACAACTGAAAGAAAACCAGATTGAAAAAATTGAGACCTTGCACACGAAATAACTGACGCAGTGCATGTAGCCAGATGACGACAAGGAAGCGTTAGAATGTTGAGAGGTCTGGAAAAAGGTGTAAGCAATGGAATTGGAGAATCATACAACAAAACACACTTTATTATTCAACCAGACTTACGTGTCCAAACAGATGCAACAAGTAATTACTCTCTTGATTTCTTCAACCTGAAAAAAAAAATTAATGTGCAATTTTAAAAAAAAAGCTACTTTGGTATGGTATGTCTCGAAACGCTGCCGCAACTCCAACGCTTCATTATAGAATGGGGTCAGCAATGCAACCTGAAAAACACGATCAGGAAGCCTGAGATGTTCAAAACATACCTGTTGTCTTAATCCTTCACTTTCTTGCCGAAGCGATGCAGACGTGACGGAGCCTGAACGCTGCCTGTGAGTTGTCGCAGAATGCCTTTCAAGAGAGGGATGGAATTCTTCACGCGACGCCAATTGGTTGGAATTCCAAGACGCAAAATGGCTATCGGAAATAGAGATTGCTAAAATTCGCACGAGAAGAGGCTTACTAAAAATCGCACTGCGGCAACTCATGTGGAAATCGCCGAGGACGTCGGTGCACATCATCCGCTAACGGAACAACAATATGTAGATGGGAGATGTCCCTGGGAGTGACTCACAGAGAGGGGCTTTCCACGGTTTAAAATATCGGCCAACAGAAACTTGAAACAACGAAGCTCGCAATGGATCGTCTTTACTAATACTGTTGAGTATCGTTGTAATAGAATTCTCAAGCTGTGAAATTTTTGGATGGCGACTTCTTGATGGCTTCGTGCTTGATTCTGAAACTTCAACTTTGGAAGTCAAGGCTTCAACAATCACATCTCTTTTCAAATTGCGCAACCGATGAAGAACGACGTCGCGCCACGCGGTCCACGGCGTGTAAACCGTGCGTCGAATGTCGCGTGATGAAACACGTTGAGACTGAAAAAGCAAACAATTCAGGTTTTACAACGATCTTCCGACGTCGCAATTTCCAACAAACATTTCTCTTAAGGGGAATTTCTTTTCTTACATTATTCTCATCGTGGAAGATAAATTGGATCGAATAAAGAGGCTCTTCTTGATGAAGTTCACTGACCATCACAAGAAAATCGCTCGGATCATTCGAAGACACTCCTGGAAGATTCGGTTCTCTCATTTCACAAATCTCCCCAGGAAATAGAACACCGCCAAGTTTGTCCGATGCGAGTCCCAAAACTCTTTCTTCAAACTCATAAACGCCTGAATGACAAAACAAGCATCGACATTTTTATGGATCCAATCTTGATAGAAATCTGTCCCATCATGAATTCTTCATGCTAGGAATCAACTAACGTCAACTGACTTTCTGGTTCGCGTAAACTATCGATCAATTCCTTCACTTTCGCTGCAATTGAAGAAACAGTCTTTGGGACATCCATTCCTCGCTCTTCTAAACTCTTCCACGAGAAAAGTGTCATCAATTGTGAATTCGATGATGATACTGCTCTATCCGTCGCTCTACTGATAGGAACATCTTCAGCCTCAGAGGAAGATTTCAAAGAAGATCTCTTCAAAGCAACCTTTGAGGAAGACTTCAAGGAAGTATTCGAGGAGGAGGAGTTCTTTCTTCCTTTTTTCTCTGTTTCCCTCGATGTTTCTCTTTTCTTGGGACTTGACCTTTTTTGACTCTTCTCAATCACTTTGTCTTTTTCATTCACTTTTCGTTGTTTCCTTTTTCGAATATTTTCATCAGGAGATTCTTTATCAGTTTTTTGTCTCTTGCGTTTTCTTGTTGTCTTTAATGCTTCTTCACTTTTTTCCTCCTTAATACTCGACAGAGTTGGATTTTTCATCTCTTTCCAATCTTTTCGATTAATTGTTGTCCCACCCCCATAATTGAAAGGATTCATTGGTTGGACAACAGCACAGGCAACTTGATCTCGTTCATTATTATCATACTACGAAACACAATTCTCATGTGTGTTCATGGACAATATATCGATCATTTATCATCTGTGTATCAACAATATATCTATCATTTATCATCTGTGTATCGACTCACCTCAACCAGCAATGACAGCGTGATGGGATCCACCTGAAGAACTTTAGCGGGCCAATACCTTCCCGAAAAATCTTTTCGTGACGCGTCTAATGTTGGAGGCCACCAAACACGAACGTGGGTCCCTAGATACAAGATATCAATAAGACGATCATCGTCATTTAAGAAGACCATCATCATCATTCAAAAATAGAATCATCATTCAATCATCCACAACTTTCGTCTCTGAGACACACTCACCAGGCAATAATCGTGCGAAAGCTCTGTTCTTGAAATATTCGAGGGCATAAAAATTATTATCAATTGGCGATGACGATACTTTACTAATTGGAAATACAACAATACGAACCGGCTCAGGAATATCATTCAAAATGGAAAAATCAAGTCCTGAACAAAATAATAAAATTATCCTACCCACTCGATAAATGTTTTCATCATTGTAGACTTCGTGCATTTGGTTTTAACCAACTCTTACCTGCGAGATGAGAAAGAGACAATAAATGTCCCAAATTCTCAAGTATATCAAAAAATTGTCTAATTGATTGTCGACCTAATCCGCAATTTCTCATTTTTAACTCCTCGAGTTGATTCATTGCAATGACACGCTCAAGTCGCTTCACCAATTGTGAACCATCCTTGACTCTGAAAAATACATTATTCAAATACATCAATCAATCCATTAATTGTGTCTAAAATGGAAAATGGATGCTCACAGATTATCTGAAATATCAAGATGTTTTACTGATGATGGAAGATATTGTAAAGCGCGATCAATAATCTCCGGATTTGTTCTACATCGGAGTGTGACAGATTCGAGATAAGGACTATGCTGGAAAACGCGCTCAACAGCATCACATAGTTCAGCTCCATGAGCACCCCAGGTTTGAATTGTTAGCGTTAGAAGCCTGAAGGGGCCGAGATGATTTTGAACTGAAAAAGTTTGATCTTCCGTACTTGCCATAATCTCCCAGCGCGTCAAGCGCAGCTATCAGAAACTCAACGTTATCCATTTCGAGATCTGCAGCTAGAATTCTATATCTCTCCAGAAAGTCAGCGATTCTCAATAGAAAATTTGATGATTTTGGTTGATAGATTCTCAGCAAATTCTCCTTTTTTAAGTAACACTTTTGTAAATACACCTCTGAATTAGCCATCGCCTTCTGAGGGGTTTTTGGATCTCGACGGCCTGGACTCATTCTTTTTTTGAGACACGCCTTGAATTAAAAATATAAACAAGTATAAATAATCGGACCACAGTAGAGAATCAGTCACATAGCAAACTGATTGGTAATTGATCAAGCGAAAGCAGGAACGATGCTGTAGGAGAAGATCAAGCGGTCGCCAACACGAAAGTTCTGCAACATCGCATGCATACTGAATATCTGCATTGAACTCTTTACCTCAAACAAATCAAACACATAGTCATCTGGCGCCGGTTCAAAGGAATCATTACAGTAGACGAACTGAAGAGAACACACACACAGATTGATTCCAGCCGAACGAATCTTTCTCCAAAATTAAAGATGATACCATCCTCAGCAATTATCATCTTGACTCACAAAATTTTTTGGATATTTCGATGTTTGGGACTCTTTACTTCTATTTTGTAGTTCAGCTTCAGTTTGTTCAGGAGAAATTCCAATTTCAGGAATTTGACATTCTTGCTTCAAGAAATCATACAATTGTTGAAACTTCCAAGAACCAGGAACGTTGAATGTTTGGAGGCTGAGTCTTGGTGCATTACCAATTTCACGCACCTTAATAGTGACTGAGTAGAAAACAGCGAGCTTTCAATGTCTTACTCGATGAACTGCTATTTATTTTAAAATCTCATACAAGCACGTCTCAATATTTGGACATCTCTATCAACCACTAAACCCATTTCTCTATCTAAACGTATTTCAAGAACCTTTTAAATCCCTCCTTCGATTCCAATGATCTTCAATCTGTTTTAGCACGGCATCCTCAGACATAATTCTCTCAAATTGATATCCAGGAACGAGATTTCTAGGGACAGAAGTTCGGTGTAGGTGCGACTAAAGATTTGTGTTTGCAGATGACGGGTGGTCCATTTTCAACTCCGACAAGAACCCGAGGAAATTCTCGAATTCGGCAAGATCTCGACTTTTGTCTCGTCAGTCCAGCTCCTCATCGACTCACTCGCATTCCAAATGCTGGCGGTGGATGCCCTCTATCCCCACAAGTGGAAATTCAAACACCTCCAACACCAAGTACTGCAGGTGAGCCATTGATCAGAGTACTTAAACTCCCCCACCATTTCTCCAGGCCAAGTTCTACCGTCCCCAATGTCGCCCGGAACGCAACCGACGCCTCGTCGACAATTCGCCCGGTCCTCACAACCTTCGACGTACGCCCCGCGCCCTTCGTCTTTGCCAACTTCTTCCTGAAACAAGACGGTCGATCGAGCGTTTGGGATGGATTGGAGAGCAATTACTCCACAAGCCACTCAAACAAATTGCTGAGGGTCTTGCTTCTGCTGACAAAAAAGCGACAGAAATTCAATGGCTACAACTCTGCCAATTGCGTGATGCGATCATCGCGTCTTCACTAGCCCACATTCAGTCGGCATCTGTTCTTCACCAACGACAACAGTAAGTGCTATTCTATGATTTTATGATTTTATGATTTTATGAACGAATGACTCTTCAGTGATGATTTTTCATCTTCAACTCAGATTTGATTGAAGCTCCTCGTCCTTCAGAATTCTCTTACCTGCAGCGGCTTCGAC